GGGACACCGGGAGGGGTCAGGGTTGCCTTAGGAGAAAAGGTCGTGGAGCCAGGCCTGGCCCTCGGGGGACCTCGCGTCTTCACCCAGAAGACGGGGTGTGAGCGGCTGGGGCAAAGGAGCCCAAGGCCTCTCGGAACTCCAGCTCTGTTGAGGGAGGCCGCAGCCCGGGCTTTTGTGACGGATGACCTCGGTTCAGATTCCAGTGGCCCAGTTACCGACATGGTCTTGGCCGAGTCATTTCCCGGAGCCGCAGTGTGCTGACTGTGAAAAGGGCAGGAGGCCAATGAACGCTACGTCACGTATCAGTCATGTAACAGGAAACGTGGTCCTTCGTCCCTGCCTTAGGGAGTAAGTCTTCAATTGACCCCAATAACCCTCACCCCCCCACCCCTCATCCTCCCACTCCCTCCCATTCCTCCCATGGGCCTCTAGGTGTTGCCTGTGCTGGGCTCTCTGGCTTCCTCCTCTCTCCTTCTTCCTAAGCTCCCAGGTGAGCTCAGACGCCCCCGCTGTGCCAGGACCCCACACAACTGCCCGGTTCCTGCCCTCAGCTCAGCGTGGCGCAGCTGGTGCACAGGGCACTGGCGGGGCGTGGCTGGGCAGCTGCCTGGGGTCTGGGCTCAGAGTTAGCCGTGGTTTGGGGCCCTGCAGGGTCGACCTCCCTGAGCACCCAGACAGTAGGTTAGGGCTCCCCTCCCCTTCACCTGCTACCTCCTGGACGCAGACTGCCCACTGTGGAAAGGCCAGAGGTGTCCTCCTCCACCACCAGCTCCCACCTGAGAAGGGGCACCCTCAGCTCAGAACCATATCGCCTGAAACAGGAGGGCCGAGGCCTCTGCCCAGGGGTGAAGGCGGGTGTGGAGGGTGTGGCCTGGGCCCAGGGAGCGGCAGCACTAAGGAGTAGGGGTGCAGCCCAGAACCAACGGTGTGAGGGGCCCATGGCTGCCCCCAGCTACTGCAGGAGCCCAGTCGTTTTGGGGGAGTCGAGCTGCTCCCCACAGGGCTCTCCTGTGGGCTCAACTGATCTAGCCTGCTCCCTGGACCTGAGTGCAGGAAAGGAAAGCCTTTCTAGTCCAGGCTGGGGAGGAGCTGGATGGGACACAGGAGGTGGCTTTGATCAATTGGTGTCCTGCCAAGTGTCACTTCTATAAAAGGAGAAAGCGCAGGTGACTTCTGGAGCTGCTGAGGAGCAGCAATCGCAGGGAGGGAGCAGCAATCGCGGGAGGTCCAGGCACCTGCGGCCCCAGCTGCTCAGGAGGGTGGAAAGGCTGTCTTTAAAAAGAAAATTTAAAAATAATAAATTAAAATTGGGATGGGGAAATTGCTCAATAATAACAATAATAATAATAAAAGCCCTCATCAGTCACCAGGGGGGTGGTTAAGCCCCTGGAGACTCCTTCCGGTTCCAGCTCTGTCTTTTCCACCCACTCCTCTGGCCCCAGCTCTGCAGGACCCACCACCCCCAGCTCTGCCCTCAGGGAGCCCCCAGGGACCAACCCGCCAGCGCGGAGCCTGGACGAGAGCCTGCTGGGGGGGCGGGGTGAGGCCGCCAGCCTGGGAGGCCTGGACTGCGGGAGCCAGGGTCGGATAAGGCGGCGGCTCCGCGGGCCCCTCCCTGCCCTGCTCTCACAAAAACCAAACTGAAACTTTCCGGCGACGCGGGGAGGTGCTGGTGACGCAGAGGCTGGGGGCGCCCCGCTGCGCCCGCTTGGCCCGGTTCCGCATGCCCCCTGGGCTCGCCCCACGAAGGCCCTGCCCCGCCTCCAGGAGGCCAGCGGTGGCGAAGGGAATTAGGATAGGCCCAGGGCGCGGGTCTCACCCCTGGGGGCTCCGGTACGGTGGCGGTGGCGGGGAGCAGGCGACAGGAATCTGGGCGAGCAGGGGTCGTTGGGAACTTGAGAATGGAGGGGCCCGAAGCCCACGGACCAGAGGGCTCTGCAGGCAGCCCGTGCGCTCTTGCTGGGGAGGGATGGCTGCCTGCCCTGGGGATTCCGTCGCAGGTGATGGCCCTAGCCTGTTAGACCGGAGCTGCCTGGCGCTGGGTGCGGGACTGGTCACCGCCATTTAGGTGACCATAGTCTGTGTGCCCAACAGGCCTCTTTATTTATTTATTTTTTTTTTGAGGAGGGGTATTTCACTATAGGGTGCAAGTGCTCACCAGAGAGAGAAAGACAGAGAAAGAGAGAAATCCCCCCTTCCCCCCCCCACCCCCGGGGATGGCCATACCTCAATCCCTTCTCCTACGGTCTCCCCTCCAGATTTTTGGGCACGCATGCACACCTGCCCAGTGTGAGTTTTGAGCTTCTGGGTCCAGGCCTCGAGCCACAGTTGGTCATGTGAGAGTCCAGCACCTTAACCACTGTACCACCTATTGGCCTACCTCATTTTGGTTTTAATATAGATGGGGAGGCCGAGTCCCTGCCTCCTCTACGCGTGACTCACTCTCTAGTCCACGTTCTCATCTACCGTCCCAGACCACACTTCCTCCCCGGGCCCGTGCTTTCACTCACTACCGTTCATTCCAATGTACTGGGCGCCTCCTCTGCCGGGCACCAGGACCCGCAGCGATTTACAGAGGACCAGGCAACAGTGGGCCTACCCTCATGCTCTTTGCATTCTAGTGAGAAAGACAGAGGAACTGGGAGGGCTTGCCCAGGGCTAGGAGGAGTGCTCCTTTGTGTGTAAGACAAGAGAGCCTGAACTTGCAGGGAGCAGGGAGTATCTGGGGCAGCTCCCTCAGGAGGAAGGTGGGCTCTGTGGCCTGCTGGTTAAGGCAGCCGGATCCCACATGGCTGACCACACAGTTCAAATCTCGGTGGTTTGAGAAACATACTGCGTGCATACAAACACATGTCCAAAATCCTGAGAGGAGGGAGAAAGAGAGAAGGGTTTGCCTTGAGGGTACTTTCTCCTCTCCCTCTCTGACTCTCTGTCTTTGGATAGCACATGTATCCTCTGGGGGTTAAAAAACAGGAGGAGCTGTCTGCTCAGAGACCTGAGGGCTGGGTGGACCCAGGGAAGAGGCAAGGTGTGGGCCATGGGGTTCTCCTGTGTGGAGGTGCTGAAGTAGAGGAGCCCCCACAGGAGAAAGGTGGGAGCAGCCCCTTCGTGCAGAGCAGGGCCCAGCAGGGGCAGAGTCAGGGCATGAGCCATGGTGCTCTAGGTTAAGGATGCTGGGGGAGACAGAAAGGGTTGGAAGGCCAGGAGCACCATGACCTGGGTGGGTTTTGTTTTATTTTGGGGGGATTTTTAGGTTTTTACCCCAGGGCAGAAATGCTCACCAGAAAGACACAAAGAGGGAAAGTGAGAAATTATTCCCCAGGGGGATGGCCACACCACAATCCCTTCTCCTCCATTCTCTTGGGATTTGGGGCACGCATGCACATGATCCAAGAGTAATTTTTTAAAATTATTTATTTATTTATTTATATTCCTTCATTTATTTTTTAATTTGACCAGAGAGAGACAAAGAGAGAAAGAGAGAGAAGGGGAAAGTGAGAAAGCAAGCCACCAGGTCTGGGGACTCGAACGCTGGTCAGCCATGTGGGAGTGTCCAGCGCCTTAACCACCACGCCACCTGCCGGTCCCCCAAGAGTGATTTTCAAGCTGTGGGTCTGGGGCTCAGACCATGGTCAGCCGTGTGGGAGTCCAGCCTTAACCTCCACACCACCTGCTGCCCCCCCCCCCCGGGAAGGTTTTCAAGGGCCCTCTGGCTGCTGTGTGAGGAGTGGACCAGAGGGCCAAGGATGGAAGCAGGGAGTTCTGCGCTGCTGGGCCTTGAGGGCTGCGCCCTCCCTGACCCGCCCTGTCTGTGGATCCAGGAGCCCAGGGGCCTCAGTTTCCCCCTTCCCTCTGACCGCTCTACTCAGGCTCCCGAAGAGGGCGCTGTACTTTACCCGCCCCTCAGGCTTCCTCTTCCCACTGTCTCAAGACAGCCAGGGCTTTGCTCACAGGCTTGACACCATCTGGGCACGAATGCCCTCAGGCATCAGTCCAGCTGGCTTTCCTTGCCTCCCTGAGAGCAACCCGCCCCACAGAGCATGCTTCATCCCCTGCCCCGTCTCCGTCTCCGTCTCCGCAGAGAAGGACCCAGAGGGCCATCCTTGGCCTGTCCTGTGCTCCGTCACGCGTACACCTGACCCCCAGGCTCCTTCACGTTCCAGGTCACACATGCCTCTGCCTCCCACGGTGCCTGCTTTTCTAAACACGCTTCCAGTCTCGGCTCTCCTCTCTGTCCTGCTTCTCTGGTTCCCTTCAGCCTTGGAACCAAGTCCCAGGACTCCTGTCTCTCCTGCTTGGTCATCTGCAGACTCTGCTCAGAGACGACTCCCCCCACACACACACACCTCCTCCAGGCAGCCTCCCTTGACTCTTGGCTCACTCACTCCCTGAATTTCTCCAACTCAGGTTAGCAGTGGATAGGGGAGATGGAATTTTGCCTTGCTATGTGGCAGGGCCACTAGAGGGAAGAGGTTTAGCCTAAGACCCGGCTCCAGGACATCAGGGGCAGACTGAGAGTAGCACAGCGCTAGGCTGGAGAGCAGGATGACCGCGGGGGGTGGGGCTTGTTTAAAGATGGGGTCAGCTCCATCAGCCTACCTTCATGCCGATTGGACTGCCTACCTGGAGGTGCCATGGGAGGCATCAAGAAGACACCTCCATGCCCACCTTCTGCCCTGGAGGTCCCTTTGCGGAGCTCCGTGCCTTTCTGGTAAGCACTGTGTCCTGTCTTCCCTGAGAAACTGCGAAGGCCCCACGAGGGGACGGGATGTATGCACCAATCAGCCGCTCCACACTGAAGTCCCTGAGAGCAACGGCCAGGAGGCAGCACCCAGACCTTGCACCCGGCAGGCAGTTCAGGGTACTCGTGGGAGGGCACTCGTGGCTCCACACTATCCACACACAGCACTGGCCCTCAGGGCCCCTCTCAGAGCGTGGCCTGCCTGGCAGGGGAGTCGTGTGAAAGCCTACCATCGTGGAGAAGTGGGAGATCCTGAGGTGCCTTCGTCTCTGCTGTGGCTCCGAGGCAGACCAAGTACTCTGCAAACAGAACTGTGAGGCGGGACGGGACTCTGGAGCTTACCTGGCACAAGCCCTCATTGACAGATGGAGAAACTGAGGCCCAGAGGGGCCAGTGGGTGAGCAGGCAGTAGGCGGGCCTCAGGTCCCAATTCCCAGGCCCGTGCTCCCCCATCTCCAGGTGCCTGGGGACGTTCTGAACTAAGTTGGGGGCTGGGGACACTACAGTCAGTTGAGCTGTGTGTGAGGGAGACAGAGTGAGCACCTCACAGGGCTGGTCATGCCGGGACCTTTGCTTTGCCAGCTCGTCATCCTGGCAGGACTCTGGGTACACGCACACACACACATCTAGCACACTTTTCAAATAGCCAGGGCCAGGACCCGAACCTGGTCAGTCATGTGGGATCCGGCTTACTCTCTACAGGGCTTTTCTTGGATTTTCTTTGCTTTTGTATTTGAATGGGGTACATACAGGCCTGCCAGGTGGCATGGTGGTTATAATGGCTGGATTCCACATGGCTGAATTCATAGTTCAAGTCCCAAACCCAGCAGCATGTATGCATATGTCCAAAATCTGGAGAGGAGAATGGAGGAGAAGGGATGGTGGTGTGGCCATCCGTTTTGGAGGGTGATCTCTCTCATTCTTTATCTCTGTCTCTCTCTCTAGTGAGCACGCACACTCTATATCAGTAAATAAATGAAATGCATATGTTTACCAGAGAAACACTGCTAGATTTCCCTGCTGCAGATATGTTTGTATATTTCTGAATATCCATAATTTAGACCTTTTTCATACTCCCTCCCAAAATGATCTGTGCCCCTTGTGGGCCATACCATCCCGCCGAGAGCCCTACCTCTAGAAGAGGTGATAAGTACATTATCTCCTCTCGCCCTTGGAACAGCCGGGGAGGCTGGCACAGTTATTCCCATGGTAGAGAAGTAAACTGAGCCAGGTGCCCATCAACACATCCGGCCCGTGAGTGACGGGGCCAGGATGCACGGCTCGAACTTTCAGACTGCACATTATTTTATCTTAAATTAACATGCCAGAGGATCCATACCCTGACCAGAGAAAGGCAGAGAGACAGACACAGAGGGAGAGAGTAGCCCCCAGTCGGGCAGGGTCATGCCACAACCCACCTCCATTTCTCCATCCCATCTGCATATTTCTCAAGCCACTGGGGCTGGGATTCAAACCACACCATTGGCCATGTCGGATCCAGTTCCATTAACTGCTAGGCCACAAGGCCAGCCCCAGACCACAGATCCTTTGTTGGCTGAGAGAGACATGGAGGAGCATGTTCCGATTGGGGGTAGGAGACCCCCTAAGCGGGAGTCAGCCTCTCCAGGCACTGTCTGTGCTGAGCCTGTTTCCTCTCTCCTAAACTGAGGAGGGGGCCTCAGTGCGTCCCAAGGGTCCTCAGGTTTCCAGCCTATGAACAGGAGGCTTCAAGGTCCCAGGATGCTGGGTGCCCACCCGCTGCTAGGAGAGGGCCCTGGCTTCCGGGTTGGAGCTGCTGGGCCAGGTGGAGGAAGGAGCTGATCGAGCCCCGTGGCCAGAAACTGAATGAGTCGGAGATGTCTGCTCTGGCTGGCGGCCTCCCAGGGGTGCTGGGCTGGGAGCCTGGCTGGCCCCAGCCTTCCCCAGGGCCTGATAAACCAGAAAAAAGAAAGCGCTCTGTGAAGGGAAGGAAGCACCCGCAGAC